AGGGAGGATCCCACATGCCGCGGAGCGGCTGGGCCCGTGAGCCATGGCCGCTGAGCCTGCGCGTCCGGAGCCTGTGCTCCGCAACGGGAGAGGCCACAACAGTGACAGGCCCGCGTGCCGCAAAAAAAAAAAAAAAAAAAAGATATACACGTTTAATTTTTTTAAAAAAGAGCTTATTAATAAACATGAGGAATACATCAACGTGCCAGCCAACCCTTCAAGGCCCAACACTGATGTAGCCTCACCGGGTGCGTCCATGTCAGAATTATAGAAAGGACAGAGACCACTGAGTGGACGCCCCCAGGGTGTGAAAACACCACGCTCATCATGCTACTGAAATGACCGTCCATCAGTTGCCCCCACCCACACCACGTGGCCTGAATTCTACATCTGTGACATTCAGACCCTCAGCCCCTTATCAAATTTTATCTTCCACTATTTCCCGACACACAGACTCGCTGGATTGGTCTCTTGACTCTCCAGGGTGTGTCATCTCCACCTCTACCACCTGACTCACTGCCATCTGTGCCAAATGCCAGGTGCATCCACACCCGCATCCTTCATGTCTCACACCTCTCACGATGCCTTCCTTGCTCCCTGAGCCCCCAGGGACTCTTCCCTTGTCTGAACTTCTCCAGTGTCCAGTACAAACGTTTTGAAACAACCAGGTGTGATGAAAAGCTAGTTGGGGGATGGGTTCCTTGAACAGGGGGGATTGGAGAGGTGCAGGAGTTAAGTGGCCCCAAGCTTGCTGGGAAAGCTGCTGCTCTCTGAGAACGTCTGATACCCTACTTTTCCTGTTTGCCGCCATGTCCCCAGCCCCTCACCTGACGCTTCTTGGCACAAAGCAGGTCCTCAGTAAATAAGTTTTAAATGGTAGCAACCTCCTTTCACAATTTGCTAACTTTTAAGCTACAGCTAGTCTAGAAAACCACTGCCCAGCAATGACCTGAAGATCAATGGTACCACTGAAAAGAAAGCGCCGAAGATTCTGATCCCATTTGCAATGGCAAGAGAAACAAACCTCCGCACAACAATACTGATGTATTTTTACAAAACTACAAAAAACTTACCTTGGTTTCTCGGAGAAGAAACTGCAAGTCCCGTCCACTGAGGATCCCGTGGTTTTTCACGTAACTGGGAATGTTCTTTGTGCTGGAGCCGTAAACAGTCGCGTGCACTTCCATGTATGTGTGAATGATGTCCAAGTAGAGCTTCTTATTCTAAAGAGGGGACACAAGGAGAAGGTATTTCTCTTTTTGTTCTCATAAAAACCTGCCTCATAGCTGGAGGCCACAGAGACAGGAGCTCTTAACATGGAGATTGCATGAATTTGGCAACCCAATTCCTAAAACTTCTTTCAAAAGTAATCTGACTGGATTTTGAGGGTAAAAACAGTCACGTGGATACTGTACAATTCTGCAAGAAGAAACATATCCTATAGCGACATACTACTGAATACTAACGATGGCTCAAGACCAATTGTTTTGAAGTATTGTCCTAGCCTTGTAAATTACCGGGGACCCAACACTTTGCTTTTGGCTTGTCCTCCTTATGGGGAAGTAAGTTCGGGGAAGGAAAGCTCAGAGAAGGCAGTCAGCTGGATTGGAATATTTATCTGGAGACGCTAAACTGTCCCCGAGGAACGCAAACATCCCCAGCTCTTGCCAGTATTTCTAGTGATGATTAACTCATGTTGTCAGAACTGGATCCCACCTAATTCGGATCATGGGGGGGATGAGAGTTTCCCACAATATACACTGATTGACTCAGCAGATGCAGAGATGATGAGAATATCCAGGTAGACAAAAGTGGAAAAAACGTTAAACGGAAACTTTGATGAGCCCTGAAACATTCAAGAGTAGTTTTACTTTTCTTAGAAGCAAAACAAAACCTCTCCTCTGTGTTGGTAGGAACTGAATTTCGAGGCACATTTTCTAAATCAAAACCACCTGCAAGTAGGAAGCAAGCTCCTTTTCCCTTCCTCTTCATGTTTCCGTGTGACTAAGTCACACAAGCTGGATTTGTGGGTTGTCTTTTGGGGTTTTTTTTCCTGGACATTTGAAAGATTCAAGTGCTGTAATGTTTTCCAGTTGTATAAAAGTGGGACAGGGTTCTTCCCATTTGAAGCCTGTTTTCACACACTCCAGGAAAGTGTAATAATCACCGGTTTTGTGACTTAAGACCGCAAGGGACACGGGGGTGTGGCATCAGCAGCCACAGAGCACACGATGGGCTCTGAAGAGAGGAGGGGCAGCAACACCCCTGGGGTGCGGGGCCCTCGCTCTGACCTGGTAGGGCAGCTCCAGGCATCCTGAGCCCGGATCAGGGTCTACCGTCTGCCTACATCTCGCAGGTGAGAATACCACAAAGCACTCAACTTTGGGGGATACATGTTTCAAACCCTGTAACCGAAGTCTTCACGACTGGAAAAACAGTACAGTCCACACTCTCCATTTTATGCACTGAAAGATTTTGTTTTGTTTGGAATCAATCAAGTCCACCCCTGCACCCTACTGTGTGAATAAAATGAACATTCCGAATTAAAGTCTAATTTCATGCCATGTTTGGCGTGGCTGGAAGATGCTAAATTCATTACCTCAGAGATGTATACCCTTCCATTCGTGCAGAGGTGACTAGGAACAGTTTATAAACCACGACTCCCATTCAGCTTGAGCCAAATTGAGGATCATCTTCCTGCTGTGAGTTACCTGGAGGGGGTCTATGTGCTAGAGGGACCTGATTACTCCTGAGCCCACAAACCCCCTTTCTCAGGGGCTCTACCTCCACCCCAGCCCCTGGTAGGTAGGCAAGGGTTTCTGTAACCCTGCCCACCCCCTGCCACTCCTGACTGGCCCAGGGTGTGTCTGACCTGAGGGGGACCCATCCCCAGGCTGGCCGGCAGCCTGGGACAGTGTGGCCGGGCTCAGGACAATGAGCTGTGCTGGTCAGACCCTCTCTCAGGAGCTCAGAGTCCTGCTCACAGAGAGATGACTGACAGACGGCTGGGGTTGTGGAGCAAAAAGGTCAGGCGGTGTTGGAGTCCGCGCAGTTATGGACCAGATGCAAGTTCTGGGGAAGTCAGATGACAGTCTTGGGGGTGAGGGTGAGAAGAGAACCAGGTAAGAGCTGAAAGGAGGAGAGGGAGACAAAGATGCATAATGGGTAATAAGAGGGACCTGGAGTAACTGCGACCTAGACATTCCCCCTGTGAGTGTGACAGAAAGAGAACAGGGGTGGGGAGGGAGGAGGGGAAAAGGAGGGGGGAGGGAGAGGGGGAGGGCAAGGGGGAGGAGGAGAGAGAAAGGGGAGGGGGAAAGAGGAGGGGAGGGGGAAAGGGGGGAAAGGGGAGGGGAAAGAGGAGGGGGAGGGGGAGAGGAGGGGGGAAAGAGGGGGAAGGGGAAGAGGAGGGGGAGGGGGAAAGAGGAGGGGAGGGGGAAAGAGGAGGGGGAAAGAGGAGGGGAGGGGGAGAGGAGGGGGAGGGGGAAAGAGGAGGGGGAGGGGGAAAGAGGAGGGGGAGAGAAAGATGGGGAGGGGGAGACAGACTGATGAGGGGGGAGGGAGGGGGAGGAGAGAGTTAGAAGAGGGGATGGAAAGAAAGGTAAGAGGAGGAGGACGAAGGAAGAGGAAGAGAAGAGAGAGTGAGAAAAGAAAGCAGAGCGACAGAAGGGAGAAAAGCAGGGCCCAGAGGAGCTTCTGGGTCCCACCCCATCAGCCCAAGAGTCTGTCTGGATCCTTAGGATAATAGCAGCTGCGCAAACTCCCCCCCGCTCCTCCCCAACTCTTTTGTCTGGGCTCCTCTGGCTGGATCCCTCCCATCTAAAGGGAGGCCTGTCAGGATGTCATTCAGGGCTTTTGGCAGGGACAGGGCTGGGGGCAGGCATCTTTTCTTTAATAAAGCAAATAGAGACATTTCCCTGTGAAAAACCAGCTGCTAACTAGTCAGGATGGACCAACAGCCCCTGAACCAGGTCCACAGTGAGCGAAAAAGGAGGACAGTGAATGATCACCCAGGTCCTAACCTGGAGATGAATACTCACGGCAGACAAACTCGAGGTTAGGATTCCCACACCAAATGCCTGGGAAGACACATGTCCTGCCATCCATCCCAGAAAAGGCTGGGGCTCTTTGAAGTTTAACAAGGGGGCAAGTTCAGGCAAAGAGAAAGAAGTATATGCCAAGGCTGGTAAAGTCTATGAACTTATTAACAAGAAGGCAGGTAAAGTCTGAAAGCAGAAATTCCCTTCAGAGAGGATTCCTGTAATTTCATGAAGGAGGAAATCACAACATGTTATTAGAGGGAAAAAGAAATGGTTCAGATATAACCCTAACCTTTCAAGATGACATGACAATGAAGTGATTCCACCTCAGGTCTCTTGTTGCCACTTGTCAGAATTCTGAAGAAATCTGCCCAGGGTGATTCCCCAGGGTGATTCCAGGGAGGAGCCGCCCCCTTCCTTCCCAAAGTGAATGCTCACCTGGATGCGAAGGGAACCCAAAGAGGCATCGCCAGCTCCAAACCACTGCCTGAATTTCACAAAATCCAACTGCCTCCTGAACCTCCCCTCCTGGGTTGCCAAGGACACTTCCCCGCCTTAACAGGTCATTCAGTGCCTTACTTTCCCAGACCAGAAACCCTACCCCCAGGCTCCCGATCTCAGTGATTGGCATTCGTCTCCTAGCCAGGTACCAGAATCACACTTGGCATTCCACACATGACATTAGTCACAAAGCCCTGCTGATTCTGCCTCTGTAATATCAAATTGTCTCCTCCTCTCCAGACTTTGATCCTTGATCACCTGGACTGCGCCAGGATGAACACAACCAGGATCTTAACAATCTGCCTGCAGCTCAGAAAGTTGATGCAACTAGTCCATGGTTTCTACAAGTGAGCAGCAGTGCTGGGACGGATTGCAAAAGAATCTGTATGGCTCGATGCCATTTTTTAACCATGCAAAGCAGTAGTAGTCAATGTTATGCATATCAACAATATTTTTACATATGGGCATTTGGAGTTAACTACAAAAATATGCATGGGGATGACAGATACAATTTCCAGCTATTGATCACTGAGGAGGGAAGGGAGGGTTTGGGGAGGCGGATGGAGCTTTCATGATATTTGAACTATATCATTTTTCTCTTAAGAAAACAATTGGACAATATCAACACCTACACATCTGGGTGGTGGGCATATTTGATATATTTCACAATTGAAATATAAAAATTAAAATACATGCAATCAAGAAAGAACAGAAACCAGTCGGTATGACACCAAAGCTTGCACCACTGCCATCTCACTGGAGGACCTAGTTTTTGCCAAAAAGAGGTCAAAGGATCTCTGTCTCTCCTCAATGGAAAACGTTATCTTTTGTGTTTAAGAAATAAGGATAAATTAGGAGTTTGGGATTAACATATACACACTACTGTATATAAAATAGATAACCCACAAGGACCTACTATATAGCACAGGAAACTCTACTCAGTATTCTATAATAACCTATATGGGAAAAGAATCTGAAAAAAGAATAGATATATGTATATGTATAGCTGAATCACTCGGCTGTACACCTGAAACTAACACAACATTGTGAATCAACTATACTCCAATATAAAATAAAAATTAAGAAAAAAAAAAGAAAGAGAAGGCGCTGCAGTTTTGTAAATTAATCATGGTCCTGGCCTGCCTTTCCCCACCCATGGGAAGGCCTCCAGTGGGAGGGGTGTGTGTGCAACAGGGACCACTCCCCTCCTGATTTTGGACATCCAGGCCCACGGTCAAGGTGACACCCCGGAACTGGGGGTCCCAGTGGTCCAAGAACTGGATCAATACCACTCTCCAGAAAGCTTTCCTCCTCTGACTTAAGGGACCAAGGTCAGAGAAAATTGTCTCCACCATAAACCGCATCACCTACGCATTTGTTGAGACACAGTCCAAAAGGGCTTGCAGGGAGTCACCACATCGCAGCATGCCACCGCCCCTGTCTTGGGGGTGAGATGTGCCTCCAAAAGGTCCCAGCTAGCAGCCTGCAGCCCCTCAATGCTCTCGGTCTTCAGTTCAATTTAAATTCCCATCAAATACAACCAATCAAATGGATTAAAATGTCAATCTACCTAAACTCATTTCAATCTACCTAAACTCATTAGGAGGCAGGGGATGGGAAGATGCTAAGGAAAAGGAGAGAACATGCTGGGGCCAAGGAGCAGGGCTTTCAGTGTGTAGCTG